TTGCTGAGCCTCTGCATTATTTCCTCCCACCTCTGTATTTGTCCCCAGTCCTCTATTTTCTTTACCCAGACTCTGCACCTTAGTTTGCCAAGAACTTGGAAGCTGTCACTGGAAATGTTCTCCTCCCTCAGCAATGCTAACATCCTCAATCTCCAGCTGCTACTGGTTATTGTCAGACATCTATGCTTAAAGCATGAACAAGTGCAGTATGGTAATACTTAGCATATTAAAATACTTTATGGGAACTAATGAATAAATTTACTTAATAGTCCCAGGAGATAAGCTGATCACCAGTTACCACTGACCTCAGTAACAGCTCCCTCAGGCAGAAGCAAAGTGGATGCAGCAACCCTTGTGGTCTCACGTCACCCCCAGCGTGATGCTCCAGCTGAACACTGCTTACAGCAGCGCCCACCCTGAGAACCGAGCCCAGAGCAGAGCCTGTGTCAGCACCACCAAGCCAGGACCCAGAATAGCTTCATCAGCCCCATGCAGGGGTGGTCCACATTGCTGAAAAGCACAACTTCTGTGGCTGGACCAGCCTGGCACTACACTAGTCCAGTTGCAGAAAAAGAACTTTTCTGCTTCTCTAGGGCCTGTAGTACTTGAGCAGCATTGCTGCCCACAGCGAGCTGGTGCCGTTTCACAGTCCAGAAGATGCTCTGCCCATACTTCAGGGATCTCTGATCTGTCTGCACTCGATTGGACTGAAGAACTGTTCACAACACCGGACTGCGACACTAAGTCCTCCCACACTGAGGAAAATAGTTAATTTATTTTAATGCATTCCCAGATCATGTAAAGCTGTGAATTAGCAGGAGGTAATTGCACTCCATTTGCTGGAGAAAAGGTGCTTCCCTGTCCTCAGGACACAGCAACTTACCTAAATCACCTGTTGCTCCTTGCACCTTTTTGTGTAGAAACAGCCCACAGCTGAAAAACTGCAGCTCACAGAAGTGCTTGGTTCGAGCAATTGCTCTGATGCTGTTGTGCTGCTGATTCAGGAAGGAGTTTTCCCCAGCTTATTCTTAAAGCATTTCACCCAACTGATGATTCAGTCTTTTTGCTTCAAGCATAAATCACCTTCCAGATAAAGTCTTGCTAGAAAGATTTCATTGGCCCTAATTAAAATGAAACTCTGTGAAAGCAGAAACAGTGCATCAGCAAGGAAAAATTGGGCTGAGATTTGTGAACTAGCATTCTCCCTGCCCTCCTAATTCCTCAGTTTATCACAGGAGAAGGAGTGAATGTTTGCAAGGTATATTACGCAAAGCTAGGCAAAGCCTAGCAAAGCCTAGCCTTTGATGCTATTTTTCCTCAAAAGCTATAGGCAGGCTGCATCTGGACCACATATAAAGTTACCTCAATCCTTTGGAAATGAGATACTTTAGAAAGACCTGAGCCAGACCATCAAACTCAAGATCAAGATTCCTCTTTTCTGAACATCAGTTTACACCAAACCTTCAGCTTACAGGTTGTCACCACAGACCAAGTTTTTAGTCTCAAAGCTGCTTTCAGGACAAAGCCAACTCTCTCCCTTGGTTAAATTAATGCTGAACTGGTGAAGTACATCTTACTCTGCAACTGATCCCAGCCATCGCCACTGCAAAGAGAAAAGCCAACTCTTCTGAGCACCCCACACAAAGGCTGTAGCAGGAAAAGAGGAGCAATAACAAAGCCCTGTAGATGCAGGGCAAGCAATTAATCACCATTTTCCAGAAGGAAATTAATGGCCCATTAAGAAAGCAGTTCTAACCTCAACTTCCCTGTAATGGGTCTCAGTCCTAGACTGCCTGGCATCAAAGGGATTTCAGCCCTACAAATGGACGCCATGTGGGGCGGGCTGCTTTAGTAGCAAGAAGGGAGTGGGTTTGCACAAGGAAGGCAACAAACTCCAACCAAACCCAACATGTGACAGTGGGCACACAAAGGGAAGGGTGAAGGAAGGGCTCTGTTAAGCCTGAGGAACAGCAGCCTTCCCTGCTTTCTAGTTAGCGGGAAAAACAGCACCAGCTCTTTTTTTCCTACTATGCATAATCCAGTTTGCATAGACCGCATCTTGCCTCTTGTGGTCCCACAGCCTTTTGCAAATCTTAATTAAGCAACACATTGAAAGTAGGTTCATAGCTCAGCTCTGATGAGTATCCTGCATCAAGGGAATGCTGGTTTCCTTGAGAAGACCAGAGGTTGGGGTTGGCAGGGAAACTAGCTCCACCACTGCAAAATTCTGCTGACCAAAAACATTGTCCCCAGCAGTGGAGAACCCAAATGGTAAATCAAAGCTCCCTGGACAAGTTATAACCTCTGACACTCACCTGTTGTCTGAGCTTAAATATGCTGCCTTGCTTCCCATCTTCTGCAAACCAAGGAGAAAGACCCTCACACATGCTCACTTACCTCACCGTTCACCAGGAAGCTGGGGGTGTTCAGCCTGGAGAAGAGGAGGCTCAGGGGAGACCTTATTACTCCCTACAACTCCCTGAATGGAGGGTGCGTTGGGGAGGTGGGGTCGGAGGGGGAGGGTTTGTCTCTTCTCCCAGGTGACAGCTAACAAGAGGAAAGAGCCTCACATTGCACCAGGGGGAGGTTAGATTGGATATTAGGGAAAATTTCTTCATGGAAAGGGCTGTGAGGCATTGGAAGGGGCTGCCCGGGGAGGTGGTGGAGTCACCATCCTTGGAAGGACATAAAAGACGTGGATGTGGTGCTCAGGGACAAGGTTGAGTGGTGGGCTTGGCAGTTGTGAGTTAATGGTTGGACCTGATGATCTTAAAGAACTTTACCAGTGTAAACAATTCTATGATTCTATGATCCACTCCGCCCACATCTTTTCTCAGCTACTAACCTGCAAAAGCACAGGCAGCTGCTCCTCAGCAAGCAGAGCAGCAAGGGGAGGGGGTGACAATGTGTAGGGGCAGGGCCAAGGGAGATGGGGCAGACATGGCTGCTGGCACTAGTTATATGAATCCTGTCTGCCAGGTGGATCTGCAGCACGACACTCCACTCACCCTCCACCTGACAAGCAGAACACCCAGAGACCCTCATATCTGTCAGAAACATGAACCCACCAAGTACTAAAACCTCAGCTGGGGTCTCAGAAAAGGCTTGGCATCATACAACAAATACCTAACTGTATCTCATCCAGGCATCTGTTCCCAATGAGATTAATGGGTATCTAGAATGATACTATAATAGTTTTCAAAGCAACCCCCAAAATCAATCCCCTAATAGTAAGCTCTGGTTTTTGCATGTGATACAAAAGGCAGTTTGGGAGAAGATGATCTAATACACCATGTATTGATTAATCAATTCCAGCCAAGATGCTAATGGGCTTTTCTTACAACAGTTGGCACTAGAAGGAAGGAGTGGGATTGCTGAATGAGAATGGGAGAAACTAGTAGTGTGATGAACTTTCAGGGTGAGGGGAGGGCAGGCAGTGGGGAAATGGGCCCTTCTGGCGATTACTCTAAGTGGACAGAGAGTGGGAATAAATAGAGGAACTGAGCAATGAATGGAGAAAGTAATAAATCAGATATATTGGCTTCAAACACAGCAGAATTATACCTTGCAATTTACTGTGGTTGATATTAATAACACTTTCCTGTTGCTACAGAAACCCTCACAGGAAGGTCTGTGAAAGAGCCCAGCATGGGTCTAGAGTCTATAATGAAGTAGACTGAACACTTTGTAGTCCTACTGGCCAGTGAAATGGTCTGGAGGCATTATTATTGCCTTCCTTAGTTATTTTTCCACATTGGCACTTCTAGCTAGGACAGCAGGGGGTAATTCAGATCATCTATGCACGCCTGTCAGATTGTCCTTCCTTCTACAGTCAATGGCAAGAAGCAGCCAGTGTAGCCATACTTTGCTAATCATCACCTGCTCTCTCCTTGCTGCCCCAGTATTTGATAAAGTCCCTTACTACCACAGAAAATTGAGGTATAAAACAGCTGGGCCATCCTCCAGACCCGAACTATAGCACTTTACACCCACTGTAGAAACATGTGAGGATCTAAGCCAATCACAAAGCTGGAGAGAACAGATCCGCAACAGATACACAGGTCCCTTACAGCTGCCAAGGAGCAGGTGTCACACTTTGCAAGAAAATATGATACAGATGCTGGAAACCAGCCTGTTACCAAGGGTTAGATGCTTGCCTCTCAAGGCAAGACATCTCAAAAGGGTAGATAGAAATTACAGACACAAACGAGCATTACACCCCCTGAAAGACAGCAGAGTCATTCAGTTGTTGCTAATTGGCTGAGGTTGCCCTTCTTTTTGTAAAATTGGAAATAGTGAGAGTGACCAAGAGGTTTTGACCTTGACTGCCTGTGACTGTCGTGGTCCTGGTTGGCAGGAGGTGTGGCCAGTGAAGATCCTATCAAGGAAATTCACCCTGGTGTATCTTCTCTACAGCCAGCAGTCACACCAGGTGTAAAGGCGACTGACAGGGCTTGGTGTAATTGTACTGGAGTTGCCAAAACTACAACTGGGTCTCGGTGCTAATACCCAGCTGACGCTGTTCATTGATGCAAATTACAAGTTTGATCACAAAGGCTAGACCCAGTCAAGAGAGGAAACCTCTAGATACAAAATATGTCACTGGTTTGGCCACCCTACATTGTTCAATTCAGTAACCGATTTTCTATGGGACATTTTAAGAACACTCCTTACTCAACCTCCCATCCTACAGCAAAGCACACCAGCATCTCGGAGTGACACACACCAATTCTTACACATGGCAACATCACACTGACCCAAGACATCACGTTGCAGGTAAGCAAGTCTCCAGCCTCGAACCACCACAGGCCATCACAGTGGTTCAGAGACTTTTACAGGACTTACAGAATTACCGTGAAGAAAATATGAACAAACCGTCCATAAAGGCAGGTGAGGTGCTAATCAAACTAAACTACCTTTTTTTCCAGACCAACCTTTTCCAAACTAACACAGTGCCTATCAGCACCCAAGCAGTCCTACAGCCCCCTCAACAGACTCACATTGTAGAGGATGTCGGTCCATCCCTCCATGGTGATGCACTGGAAGACGGTGAGCACAGCAAAGAGGATATTGTCAAAGTTGGTGATGCCGTAGTTGGGCCCTTGCCAGTATTCCCTGCAGGTGGTCCCACTTTCACACTGCCTGGCAGGAGGTTCCTCTCCGCAAGGAAAATCTCCCACTTCATCACCTGCAGAGAAGAACAGGGGGGAGAAGAGTTACCAACTGAAGCCAGTCAAGCAGCTGGTGCTGCTGCATCCTCCTTGCAGCACTGCATGAAGGCAATTTACATTTCAGGCTTCATTCTGCCACTATGGGCATGTAGAAGACATTACGCCCATGTAACCATTTATATACTGCTAGGTTATGAGAGGCAGTTTAGTAGGAGGGTGGAGGCAGGGTCGACCCTAAAATGCCCATAACGTAAAGTTTGCACCAGTGTTCAGCCGTGTCATAGATGAGAAACAAAACAAAAATCTCAGTAGGGTAAAAGCAAGGGCTTGGGAATAGTGCGTACTTCAAACACCGTGGGTCAACAATACACCCTCGTACAGCCCAGCTAAGTGCTAAATGCACTGTAATTTTAAAGCAGGGTCTTCACCAGTGGCTTAAACAAGAGCTGTTTGTGGATAGCCACAAAATTGTCCAGATACAGATGTTACACCACAGCTGCATGAGGAGCCCCTGGCTTCGTCATAAGGCAGTACCACCACTGCACCCTGCAAGGTGGACCAAGAACTCCCGCCCCTCAGTAAACTTTATATTTCTGCTCAAAAGGACAGTGCTGTAGAGTGTAGGTACACATGGCAGGGAAAACATCCAGCGGTCAAGCTTGTCTGTAGCAGGGCTGGGATTTCTCAGCAGTACCACCACTGCACCCTGCAAGGTGGACCAAGAGCTCCCACCCCTCTGTAAACTTTATATTTCTGCTCAAAAAGACAATGCTGTAGACTGTAGGTACACACAGCAGGGGAAACATCCAGTGGTCAAGCTTGTCTGCAGCAGGGATGGGATTTCTCTGCTGAGTTTCATTTCAGACCCAGAGAAGGCAAAGGAGGAAGAGTCTGTCAAGCTGCACCCTGCAAGGTGGACCAAGAGCTCCCACCCCTCTGTAAACTTTATATTTCTGCTCAAAAAGACAATGCTGTAGACTGTAGGTACACACAGCAGGGGAAACATCCAGTGGTCAAGCTTGTCTGCAGCAGGGATGGGATTTCTCTGCTGAGTTTCATTTCAGACCCAGAGAAGGCAAAGGAGGAAGAGTCTGTCAAGGTTAAGGACCACAAGGATGGCCAGAAGGGTGGCCAGCGTCTTACAGGGTCACCTGTGAAGTCTGAAGCATTGCAGCCCTTCAGAGACCTTGTAAGCACCAACAGGGAGCAGTTTGGAAAACTAAAGTTCTGGGGTTTCAAAGTAAATAAATATACTAAGTGATATTCCTATTTACACAGTGATGCGATTCGGGAAATATTAAAGGGTTTTAAAAGTGACATGTTATGGTAATGGAGCAGCAAACTGCACAAAATCAAATTCACCAGGGAGAAAATAAGATCAGCACTAACAATAATTAGGACTAATCATTCCACAGAGCAAAGCCTGCAGGAGGAAAACAGGATTGCCACTGTGGCTCCAGGATATATATGTGTGTGTGCATGACGCGCTCTCCTGTTGACCCAACACCTTAATGCAGGGCATCTCCCTCCAGCTCCCATATGGGTCACCACAGGCTTTCACAGGGGCTTAGCGAGACACGCCTGCAAAAAGAAAATACAAAGTCTGGCTCTTGCGTACCATTCGTGAGTGTGCCTTAAAAGAGAATCCAGTTTTATCTCTGTCAGGCCTTTTGTTGCCAGGTAATGCTCTGAAAATGCAATGCACATCTACTACAAAGGGTTGGGTTTTTTTCCTTTTTTAAAAAGAGGTCAGAACTGGTCCCTACTCCCATAGCTCTTTGGGGACAGATGAAAGGGGAGTCTCAAGGGAAAATGAGAAACGTGATGCCTAGTTCTCCCCGAGCAGCTACAGGGCACTTGGGCTGGGTCAGCTGCAGAGGGTGTCTGCTTAAAAATAATCCTGTGTCAGCAGAACAGGACAGCATGGAGGATGCAGGGAGAGGAAAACAAGTCAGGCATTCACTGGAACATGCGCTGTCATTATTTGTACCTATTTTTCATTAAAACAAAGAAATGTTTCCAGTAGCTCAGAACAGTCGGTCAGGCTGAGTGGCAAAGGCCTTCAATAACACTTTTGCTGTATTTTGGTCCCTCTTTGTTCTGGTTTATTACTGACCTACCCAGGGCTACTGGATTAGCAGGGCTATAGCAACATGTGCTGTTGACACCCCTACTCTGTTCCCTCTACGATATGCTAAAGTTGCAGCTGGTACCTCTCATGTAGCTCCTGATTCCAGGAAAAATCCCAGGAGTTTTCTCACTTGGGGGATTTGGACAGAAACAAGCATGAGCAACACCTCCTCCAATCTGCTACCCTCTGACAGAGGCACCTCTGTAACGAGGTTCACATTTCCACACTCCAGCCAACCTTTGGAGCCCTGGTATCAGGCCTGGGCTTGTTAATGCACCTCTTTGGAGATGAAGAGCACTTAGGTTTTAAAAGGCTGAGCTGATGGCTTTGTGGGATGCTCTGCTGCTCCGCTCACAAGGGACCGCAGCGCCAGGAAACCTCACCGCTCTCTGCCTTTCCAGAAACACCACTGCACCATTTCCCGCCGAGCAGGTGGAATCGATCCCCATAATTCATCCCACAACCAGCTCGTTAGCCCTTGGGAAATGCAGAAGCCAGTCCTGTAAACACAGGTGCCTTCCCACACCACCTGGCTAGTGGGCTTGAGGGGGAGGCGAGCCTGGCCACACCGTGTCCTCCCACCGAGATGCCAGGTGCTGCCATGCAGAGATACACAACACACAACATTTTCTGGATGCTCTCCCAATTCCTAGCTGGGAGCCACCCAGCAAGCAAGAGTCGCTTACACACGACATGACACGTGACAAATCTGTTCTCAGTCCTCAAGCCTGGCAGAGACATCCCTCAGTCATCACTGATGTCAGAGAGTTGTCTGCAGAGAACACAGGCAGCGTTGGGTTTTAAGTTTTGCTTTTACATGAACCAGAAGGAGGAAAACAAACAAAAAAAACCCAGTCTCCTCTTTAGCCCAGTAGCTATGATGTGAGAGACCCTCAGAGCTCAGCCTTGCAGCCACTACCTGCCAACAAGGGATGCAAAAAATCAGCCAACTTGGTTGCAATTTAACATACCTGAAAATGCTTCTAGAAAATGCAAACCTGCTCACAATTGCTTTCTTTCTGCCATCTCACCCAGAGCATGCCTGCTTCCTATGCACCTATATTGTCACCCATTATTAGTCCTCTCTAATTGCTGCAGTGGCCCCAGAGACCTTGCAGAGGGCTGAGACCTGTTCAGCTTGGCATGAACACGCATGCCCTGCAAAAATGTCTGACAAATCCAGTCTAAAACTTAATTTATTCGAGGAATCATAATGCTTCGCACACAAGTCACAACACCTGACTGTCCTTTGCAGGTTTTGTTATGTTTTTCTAATGTTACGTAGGCCCTGACGAGAAGAACTTGGGGTACTGGTGGATGAAAAGCTGAACATGAGCCGGCCGTGTGCGCTGGCAGCCCAGAAAGCCAACCGTATCCTGGGCTGTATCCAGAGAAGTGTGGCCAGCAGGTCGAGGGAGGGGATTCTGCCCCTGTACTCTGCTCTGGTGAGACCCCACCTGGAGTGCTGCGTCCAGCTCTGGAGCCCTCAACATCAGAAGGATATTGACCACTTGGAGCGAGTCCAGAGGAGGCCACGGAGATGCTCAGAGGGCTGGAGCCCCTCTGCTATGATGAAAGGCTGCGAGAATTGGGCTTGTTCAGCCTGGAGAAGAGAAGGCTCCGGGGAGCCCTTATAGCACCTTCTAGTATCTGAAGGGGCTACAAGGAAGCTGGGGGGGGCTTTTTACAAGAGCCTGTAGTGACAGGACAAGGGGGAATGGGTTTAAATTGAAAGTGGGGAGGTTTAGATTCGATATCAGGAAGAAGTTCTTCACAGAGAGGGTGGGGAGGCACTGGGACAGGTTGCCCAGAGAAGCTGTGGATGTCCTATCCCTGGAAGTGTCCAAGGCCAGGCTGGATGAGGCTTGGAGCAACCTGGTCTAGTGGAAGGTGTCCTTGCCCATGGCAGGGGGGTTGGAACTGGATGGTCTTTAAGGTCCCTTCCAACCCAAACCGTTCTATGATTCTATGAACACAAGCAAGGAAACAATTTCACCCTACTTCTGCAAAGCTCTGTGTAAGCTGTGCATATTAAACTGTTTCCATGGGGTTGTTAGAAAGCACTGTGAAGGATGCCCAGAGATTTGGCAGGGATGTTGTTTTATTACCATTTGAATGTGTATAAATAAATCAATATTAAGATCTATTAGTGAAAATCACAGAAAATACAAGACTGTGTTTTAAAGACAGTCAATTTTACCTTAAATTGCAATCTTTTGGAGACAAGAACAGTATTTTCATCTGTGGATAGCCCAGATAACCAAGACATATTAGCACTGCTATGAAGGAGTATTAAAAAATTAAATAGAAAAAATGGGCACTTTTTTTTTTTTTAATTGGAAGGAGCTCTGAGCCATGGACAAGCAGCTGCCTTTAACATGGCAGACAGTCCCAGCTGAGGGTCTCTGGGCATTACTCCTCTCCACCTCCATCTTCCAGGGTTTATCACTCATTCATAGGCAGACACATCATTTACTCTGCAGTGCCCAATTTTCCTTGCCCTCCTCTGTTTGAAGGACATTTTCATCCTTTCTCCATCAAAGAGCTCCTTGCTTTCTGTCTATTGTCCTTTTTCATTTTTTGGTTGCTCCTACTCTTTCCAACCTTATTATTTCACAGCAATGTTTTCTCATACCCATGCAACTTGCCCAGAAACCTTGCAAGGAAATTCAATGTTCAGCAGCTATTCATAGTGCTAAATCCAATGAAAACCTAAACAAGGACCAATGAATTAAAAAAAAATTCCAAAAAACCCCACCCCAGCTTTCAACAACCTGGAACAACAGGAATTTGGTTCTGTATTTCTACTACAAAAAAATTCTCCCATGAGAGGAGGCCCTAAGCACCTTCATCACACTCTTGTGTAGACTGAGAGCAACCCACTAGCATCAGGGAGGCCCCAGTGGTGTAACAGAGAGGAGAATCTGTCCCAGTGTGTGTGGGGTGAGCACAGAAGTTGGTTAACTCTTAGAGTAAGTGGGTAAAGAGGGACACAATGCAGTGAATGTGGAAGAGGAAAGAAAAAGGTGCATAAGAGCAGGCCAGAAAGCATCCCAATCGGATGAAGGGGACTAGAAGCATGGTGACAATGTGCCGGGAGGGGAGCGAAGCGCAAAGCTCACCTGTCTCGTTAGAGAAGCAGGTTTTATGAAACTTCCCCATGTAAAATTCCAGCCCGATGATGGCAAACATCACGATGGCGAAGAAGAGGAGCAACCCAATCTGAAGCAAGGGCACCATTGCCTTCATGATGGACTTGAGGACAACCTGCAAGCCTGTGGGGACAAGGAAAAACACATAATCAGTGAGGGAGGGAAAATAAGGACTTGGGGATGGGGGCAGGGTGGGAGAGAGGGGCTGTCTAAGGAAAAGATTAGGATTGGCAGTACCAAGCAATGCTCCTTTTCCCAGGGTGCAATAAAAAGATGCTACATCCATAATGCTCTCAGGATGTGAGACAGACAATCAGGAAAGTCATCTTTTTCTGACCCCTTTTATTCATATCACAGATTCAAAGATCTCTTACACTTCAGAGACACAAAAGGACTTTTCCTGTACCCAGTGGAGTCCCAAGACTCAGCCTGGAGCTGGACCAGATCCTTAAGGCAGATCCTACAGCAGAGCTGGGTGCTGCAGTGGTACCCCCTGTCCCAGGGAGGGCAGGGAGCTGCCCCTTCTCCTTGACACACTGAACAGCCGCAAGGCTGCCGTGCCTGTCACACCTCACTTCCGGAGAAACAAAACCCTGACTCCAGGGCTTCCATCCATAGCCTTTTCACTGGCACTAAAACTCATTTTCAATTAAAACCAGGGGGAGATAACGCAAGAGGTTGGAGAGATGGAGGTGTCAGATAACGTCAGACAGATGCACATAACAAAAAAAATTCTGTGATAAGCAGCAGCTGAAAGCCACCTTGGTGGCCTGTCCTAAGGTCTGGAGAATGATCATCATCCTGACACTTTGTACAGCACTACTGAGGTCAGTACGGTGCATGCAGAAAAAAAGCACAAAGATCTGCTGGACGGGAAAAATACCAAGAGAGTGGAAAAGCACATACCATGTGTGTGTATGAATGCACCTCAAGGTTATACGTTTACTACAGGAAAAAACCACAGCACACAGCCTTCACAGCATCACTAAAAACATGAAAGCAAATAATGCTCTGTGGGAAAATATTGTGCTGGTCCAGGATACATCACTGGGTGGGAGAACACATCCTTTTGGGGAGAATGTGTGACCCACAGCAGGACAGGGACAACCCTGAGGGTCCGTATTATTTCTCTGACATCCCTAAACTGTCACCACAACACCATATTGCCTTGTACAGGCAAGAATTCCATGAAAAAACAGCCAGCAGCATCTCCTTATTAGAGATCCTCTTAATAAATGACATCCTTCCCAATCCTAGCCAAGGACCTCTCCTGCATGGGTATTCTGATTCAAGGCCTACTCATGAAAGGATGCTGATTTCAGGAAATTTGGGTGCTGTTAGCACAAAGCATAACCCTCTTCTGGATTGCTGCACCACCAACATTTCAGCTCTGAAGCAGCCAGAGAGGTGGCCGAGCTGATGCCCCAACCCGCCGCCCAAGAGGAGACGGGGCTGCCAAGGGGTTAATGCAGAGGAGAGCAGAGCATCCCACAGAGCAGCAGTTCCCTTTGACTGCCTCTTGCTGGAGGGGAAAATCTCACTGTTCCATACTCAGCAATGAAATACACTCCTGACAGCGATCCCCAGCCAGCGGGCAGAGCAGCTGGGGAAGAGACAAACAAAAAGGCAGTCAGCAACACTGTGAGGAGTTTGGTGGTTTCAGGGCATCAGCAAGGCACGATTCAGCTCCTCACTGGAGCATTCAGATCCTTCACATGAGCATGTAAAACATACCAAGTTGCCCATTGGGTAGGCAAGACCAAGTTCTGTCTGCTCCTTTCCTTCTTTTTTCCCCTTATTAAAAGGGTAAAATCCCCAGCGCAATATGCTCAGCTGGTAAAAACTGTCAGAAGATCCAAGATCAGGGCTGGGAGCCTGAAAGCTGCAAAATTTGGGTCTCAGGTCTTCACACTCCAGAGAATTAATCCAACCCCACAGGAAAAAGGGTGCTAGGACAAATCCCTGTTGCTCACTTGCAAATCTGGGAGCACAGTGCTGAAATCAGCTGGCTGTACACAAAATGGGATGACAGAAAATCAGAACCTAGCAAGGGCAGAAGCCACAGACCACGAAGAAGCAGGGGAAGAAAATATTGCTCAGAAAAGCATGTAACACCCAAAAGCTACAGAGCACCTTTGGCTAGGAAGATAACATCATGACACTCACTTGGGATTCCTGACACAAGCTTCAGGGGTCGCAACACCCGGACGGCTCGCAGGGTCCGCAGGTCAAAGTCAGTCCCAGCAGTTGCTAGAATCCTAATCATAAAAGGGGAGAGAGAGGAAAAACGGAGATTAAATGCAAATTCCTCTTTCCTGAGCATGGGTAAGTGTTGTGTAATACCAGCAAATATTTAAGCTGCTTTAAACTTTATACCTGTGATCACGTTGCAAATGGTGTCCACTGAAACCATCAATTCACACGCTCCTCTGGAGCTGCTGAGCCTTGCTCAGACTATAAAACAATCTGCAATATCTGCCTGCTTATGGGGCTGTTTACACACAGTGGACAGGCCTGGCTCGGGCCGTTACAGAGCAGCAGATACACCATATTGCAGCAGGAGACAGTGAGAGTGAAATAAACCCCTCAGTTATGCTAGAAATTACCTGCCAGAGCTTTTCCCTATAATGAATTCAGAAATCCCTCACGTACTGATGTCTGGTCTTTCCTAATATCTGAAGCAGTTTCTAGTCATACAGTGTACTCTGTGTGTGCAAAATTAATTCTAGTTCAGAGCATCTCATTTGAGGAGAATATCGAGGGAGTAGGGTGCAAGTATTTCCTCTGATACGCTCCAGTAACTCTGATAAGAAATACAGCCCCCAAAGCAGAATTATTCTTAAAGATTTAAGTGCTCTGCACAGAAAATTAAATTGTTTCACTGTTTTAGGATTCAGGAAAGGAAGAAATATTGTCACAGTGTCCACAAGTCCCAGTGATGTAAACTCCTTAAGCGAAGACCCTGAAAGGCACACTACCCCACAGAGAGCATGGCAAACCCGTGTTCATTAATTACTGCAGCACTTCCTATGGTGCTTCAACAAAAATATCCTTGATTTGAGTCAGGGTTCCCCTAACAACAGCCAACCACGCAGTTAGTTCAGAGCAAAACCCCTCTCACCAGCTCCCCACAGACTGCACCATTCAAAGTGGTTGTAAGCAATTGCCATTATTTTTTGCTGTTTGTCCACAGGCTGTTCTACCAGGTTGGAAGCGACTTAGCACTAAGCCCCACAGTGGGTCTGCAAGACCCCAGTCACCTGGTACCAAATGTGCAAGATGCCACAACTTTGTTAACCACAACTGCTGAAAGCGCTGCGCACGGGGACCTAGCCTGGACCATAACCTGACACTTTGCCAACCCTTCCCCAAGAGCCACAGCAGTAAGAACTAGCAAACCTGGGGGAAAAGTGGGATTCCAGCACTGCCACAAGCCATGGGCAGAGATGGAAAGGGGTTGCTAGGCTTGGGTGGGAATTTCAGGCGTTCTCCTGGGGATTAAGCACCCAGGCACAGCAAATGTCCCATGCAGGGGCACAGAGATGCTCTGAGAGGGGCTGAGCACCCACAGTGTGCACCCCGATTTATCTGCGTCTGCCCAGAAAACCTTTTTCTCAGCTCCTGATAATAGGCTGCTGATGAATATTCAGAAAATGTCCAGCTACCATAAAATATACAAGAAAAAGCAGAATTTTTCAAAAGGAGACATATAGTTTTACCGTGTAATATGTATTATGCAGGATGTCTGGCACACTCGGCAGCGGAGGACGTGGCTGTGGAGGGAGCACTCACAGCGCAGCTCCGCTCGGATAAAAGCCCTGTCTTTGACTTACTGACTGACTTAGCACTGCTGCCAAGCATGGGCCAAGGAAGAGCAGGAGCGGTATTGCTGTGCGGAAGGGGCCAGACTCCATCAGCTGGAGGTGCTGGTGATCAGGAAAAATGCATGCTGAGATGTTGGCTGGCAAGAGAGGCAGCAGTAAGCCAGGACACGAGGATCAGAGTATCTATTCTATAGGACATCTGTTCCTACATTTTCACGACCAGAAAATTCACATTACATCATCTCTATCAATGCAGTTTGGGCATAAGCAACAGGAGACAATTTAAACCAAGAGCCATCGCATGCCATGACTTCTAACTTAATCTTCTGCACCCAAGCCAGTGATTTCATTCCTCTTCTCCCTTCCCTCCACCCTCAAAACTTAATTGCTCATTTATAAACCTCTGCAGCCTGGGAATAACACACACTTCAAGTCAAAAGATAATCTTAAACATCCACCTTGGGTGTTGCTACTAACAGCACAATTAGTCTTTAGTGAGCCAAGATGGATTTGTGCTGTCTTCAGGCAGAGCCCTGGCTCCTGGTTCAAGCTGAGAGGAGGGTGCTTGATTGTTTTTTTTTTTTTAAATTCAAATAGAAAATGGGAGTGAATGGAGGATACCACCAAATAGTCCCATGGTGCCAGTAAATGTTCCAGTGGCTGAAGGTCTTCATTCCAATCTTGTCTTCCTAATAGGCATGATGCTATTAGTGTGAGTACCTGCTCACACTATGGCGACACCCCCTTCTCCCCCTACTCCCCATTCAAACCCCCCAATCATTCATTAATTCCTACATCACTGTGATCCCATAGTTAACCTACACAGGTACCCTACAGCCTACCATCTCCCATGGCTGGAGAGCTGGTCCGTGAATCACATCAAAAACAACGCAACCCATATTTTCC